TGCTCTATGATTTCCAAGAATAAGTCAAAAAGAATAGCTTTTTCCTGGTTCTATCTTTGGATTGCTCATTCTGGGAGAAACTGACATTCTGCAAGGATACTCAAGCAGTTCTGTGTGGAGAGGAACTCAGGACTCCCACTACCAATAGCCAATATCAACTGCCAGCCATGTAGGTGAGGCACCTTGAAAGCAAATCCTAGTAACAAGCATGCCTTCAGATGACTGCAGCTCTGACTGACATCTTGACTTCAATGCCATGAGAGATCAGGAACCAATGCCAGTCAGCTAAGTCACTACCAAATTCCTGACAGGCAGAAACTATGAGAGATAATAAATGTTTATTATTATTTTTAAAAAATCAACCGATACAAAAAGGAATAGAAAACCTGAATAGACTGTAACTTTAAAAGAAGACTAGAAATGGTTAATAATCTCTGCTCTCAACTACTCCCTGGGAAAAAAAGTTGCAATCCCAAGCAGTTTTACAGTTGAATTCTACCAAGTTTTAAAGGGAAAAGTAACATCTACCTTTTACAAGCTGTTGTACAAAATATCAAAAGGGAAAGCTGTCTAATTTATTTTAAAATCATAACCAGGGGCGCCTGGGTGGCTCAGTCAGTTAAGTATCTGACTGTTGATTTTGGCTCAGGTCATGATCTCGTAGTTTTCAAGTTCCAGCCCCGCACTGGGCTTTGTGCTGACAGTGCAGAGCCTGCTTGGGATTCATTCTCTTTCTCTCTCTCAATCTCTCCTCCTGCCTCCCCTGCTCTCTCTCAAAATAAATTAATTAAAAAAAAAAAAGATAAAATCATAACCATGATGGCCAATGAACTTGAACAGTATAAGAAAATTACACGCAAATTTACTTATGAATATATATATATAAAGATTCTAAATACAGTACTGGCTAATCTTTTTAAAAAATACACACAAAATCTCTGGCAATCCCCGGAGGTGACTCTTAGTAATTAAAGTGAAAAAAACTAAGCATGTCTTCTGCTTTTCTAACAGGAAATTCATTTAGGGTAACCAAATAAATCTATTATGAGAGAAAGCTCCCCTTTACAGAAGAATTTCAGCCACTAAGTGCACTAGAAAAGATGGAATTATTAAAACAGTTCTGCAACTCCTAATTAAAAACTGATTTAGATAAGGATCACCAAGAAGTATTAAAACTATTTGGTGAAAAGTTGATGGAGAAATGAACATTCACATGGTGCCAAAGTACCATCTCCAGATATTACTGAATAGTCATAAGGAGAACAACAATAACAACAAAAAACTATGATGGAGAAACTTGCCTGTCATAATTGTAACCCAGTAATCAATCTTAGCATCACTAATAGCTCAACAACCAGGCATATGTACTACTGATATGATGTAATATGAAGTACACAGAATCTCTATGAGATATTCTTTCCAAAGATGTTCCAAACAAGTTTTTTAAACCAAATTTCCAGGGTAGAGGAAATACAAAAGATACAGGAACAAAAGCTAAATGTGAGAAAAACCATCATACAAACCCAGGAGGTGGGACATTCTAGAGACCAACTGGCCCACTCTCTTCAACAACTTGATGACATAGGGCAAAAAGTAGTGTGTGAAGAATCTTCTAGATCTAGAAAGACTACAAACATATCACTAAATGCAACATATGGCGCAGCAAGATTTTGGGGGGGAAACTTAAACTAGCTTTTTATAGGGAAGAAAAATTTGTTAAGCTAGAGCTATTTTGAAAAAGAGGAAAAAAGAGGGGTGATTTTCTCTATCAGAAATTAGGATATAATACAAAGCCACAGTAATTAAAACTGGGGGTTAATAGTACAGAATCAAACAAATTAGATCAACAGTGAAAATAGAAATGCCATGAATACATGGGAACTAATTGTACGACAAAGTTGGCATCAGGTATCAGTGAGGGAAAAGATGGACTATTTAATAAATAGTATTGAGAAAATTAGCTAACTATATGGAGAAAAACTAGATTGGATCCCTACCTCATACTATATTCAAAAATATAACCCAAATATCTAAAGGTGAAAGCTAAAACTATAAAGCCTAACAGAAAAAAAATGTAGGAGAATATATATTGTGTCCTCAAAGATAGTATTTCTTTAAAAAAAAAAAAAAAAAAAAAAAAAAAAAAAAAAAAAAAAAAAAAAAAAAAAAAAAGACCAGGGGTGCCTGGGTGGCTCAGTTGGTTGAGCAACTGACTTTGTCTCAGGTCATGATCTCACCATTTGTGAGTTCGAGCCCCACGTCGGGCTCCGTGCTGACAGCTCGGAGCCTGGAGCCTGCTTTGGATTCTGTGTCTCCCTCTCTCTCTGCCCCACACCCACTCATGCTTTGTCTCTCTCTGTCTCAGAAATAAATAAACATTAAAAAAAATGTTTTTTAAAGGTACAAAAAAAGGATTATAATTGACAGATCTATTATCAAAATGAAGGATTTGGTTCAATGAAAGATACTATCAACAGAGTTAACAGGTAATAGACTGGGAGAGGTATTTTTGTTAAAAAACTAAAATAAAGAAGTCCTCCCCTAAAATATACAAGGACCTCCTACAACTCCAATGGTAAATGGGCAAAAGATATGAATATGCAATTCACAGAAGAGAAAATAACAGATATTTGAGAGATGGTCAACCTCACTATAAAGAGATAAATTTATATTAAAACATTTTGGTAAGGGCATCTAGGTGGCTCAGTGGGTTAAGCATCCGACTTTGGCTCAGATCGTGATCTCATGGTTCGTGAGTTCAAGCCCCACATTGGGCTCTTGGCTGTCAGCACAGAGCCCGCTTCAGATCCTCTGTCCCCTTCTCTCTCTCTGACTCTCCCCCATTCATTCTCTCTCTCCCCCTCGAAGTAAATAAATAAACTTAAAAAATTTTTTTGGTATACCATTTTATACCCATCAAGGTGGCAAAAACTGGAAAGTTGGAGAAGGTCAAGTGATGATGTAGATATGGTAATATTGTTACTTTCTTATTCAGTGGTACTGGGAGGGTCATTTTAAGTGGTATGTAGAATCTAATAAATGTAAGTAAGCCCATACAAATAACATAGCAAATCAACTCTTGGGCTTACATCCCAGAGAAACTCTTCCACAGTTCTCAAAGAGAAAGTATATATTCTTTGCAGTGTTGCTTGTGAGAGTGAAGCAAAGAGAGAGAAGCAAGCCAAGTGCCTATTGCTGGGAAACAGGTAAAATATGGTACAGAATAGAATATTAGGTGTCAGTCAAAAATAAATACCTAGATCTGTATTTGGCAACATAGGTAGCTCTCAAATGCTGCTTGACAAAAAGGTATAAACAGAATGACACACACACCACAATGCCGTTTATGTGTGTAAAATATACATAAATATGAGACCTTGAAATACATACGCACACGTAGGACAGATCAAGAGGATATATGTTAAAAATGCAAGAATGGGAACTTAATGCAAGACTAGGAAGGAGAATGGAATTGGAGATGGGGAATGAGGGAGAAATGCACACCCACAAACCCACACCCACACACCAAAAGACCATTCTTTCAAGGCACAAGGATGGTTCAGTCGGTTAAGTGTCAGACTTCGATTCAGGTCATATCTTGGCTTATGGGTTCGAGTCCTAAGGCGGGCTCTGTGCTAACAGTTCAGAGCTTGGAGCCTGCTTCAGATACTATGTCTGTCTGTCTGTCTCTCTGTCTCTCTCTCTGCCCCCCCGCCCCCTGCCGCCGACTCACGCTCTCTCTCTCTCTCAAAAATAATAAACATTATAAAAATTTAAAAATTTTAAAAAAGACTGTCCTTTCAAGAATTGATAACGAATATGAACTGAGAATTATGAGCAAGTGAATTCCATGAAAATGAAATCCTAAAAACAGAAAAGGGAAAAAATTCCTATAGGAGAAAAATGAAGCCAAAGACTCAGAAAAACTGATTATAGTCTATGCAACTAACAAGCAACTTGGTTTAGTTACTAGAGTATTTTTTTAACAGTAGTGTTACGATTCATTTACTCTTAAAACTGCCATTATGCAACATTAGCTTATTAAATAAAGACAAGTCAAAATAAATAAATAAATAAATAAATAAATAAATAAATAAATAAATAAAATTCAAGTTAATATATTTCAATCTTCAAATTCTACCATAAAGGCAAATAAGCTGAAAGAAATAACAATGAAGCAGACTAAGACAGTAACTAGTTTTTCATCTTGAAACCTTCTAGAAATATCAGCTCTAGAAATAGTTATATTGTAGTTTCACAAGAGGCAAACAGCAGTTACTATTTCTAAAATATATGTACCCTGAACTAGATGGAATTAATCCACAAACGAACCAGAAATGATAAAGGCCATATCAAACTAAAATACTACGTAACAGCACCCAGCTCATTTAAATATTTAATGCTTTCTGATATGTAACTAGATTGTCTTCAGTACCTCTACCACTTCAGCTTTTTGGTTTAGTACTGTTATCAAAATGAATAGCACAAAAGCAGAACAAGTCAAATCACTGCCAAAATAAGCTACCAATATTACTTCTCTTATTGGCAATGACAGCAGAGGTGTATCCTTTCCTTCCTCTACCTCTGAATACTAATAAGCTTTTAGAACTTTGACTCATTATACCTCTCTTTAACCTACAGAAAGAAATATAGAGTTAAGACCAGGAATCACAGTTATCTTTGAGTTAAATACAGTATACCACAGAAAACTTACTCAACAAATGTTGAAATAAATTACTGATTGAACAATAAAAGTCAATTGGTTGTTCACTGCATGTTAATAAGTATACCTAATCTTGCAGCTCTTTTAAACAAACAAAATAACCATGTATTGGCACATGTGAAAAAAGATAATTCTGAATACATTGTAAGATTAGTCATTTTTAATAGACACAAATAAGAAAAATATGCAAAACATATTAAAGTCAATTCATTCATCTCAGATATGTCTAAGCTAAATAAAATCTATCTCTTATAAATGGATATATTCTTATCCTTACCAATGGGGGATTCTGGAGTTAGCCCCATGCTTTGAAGCAATGCTTCAGCTTCTCTTCTTTTTTTTTCAAGATCGGATTCTTCTTGCACAGGAGCAACTGTTTCCTTCTTCTGATCAGTCTAAATTTTTAAAGTTAAAAACTTAAGTTTACATAGGACATGAAATATTTGTTTGCAAAAAAATGTATTTTAAATAATGTGCTAATACTGTATACTCTGGGAGAGTGGACTTAATTTTGAATACACGTTATAGTCATTAAATGAAAACCATTCTCAGTAGAGTTCTAGTAAGTAATCTCCAAATGATATGTAATGAAGGAGTTCCCACAAAAGTTTTTACCTAGTAAATTTAAAAAGTACAGTTATTTCTATTTATCCACAGTATGAAACTGCTATTCATGGTTAGGAATTGTGGAAACCTTCCCTAGAGACACAAAAGCGTAGATATAAATATCACAACAGTATTGAAAAAAGAAAAAAAGATTATTTAACAGGTAACACATTTTAAGTAAATGGACAACGTATTCTGTTGAAAATCAAGTATGAGTATCTCAAACTTTTGTACAATGTACTTTTCATTGTATTTATGCAATTTTATGTAGAGGATGTTTGTCAAAAATTCATCTGGAGGAAACATTTTAGTTTTTGAAACTATAGGTGGTATTTTTATAATAATAAAAACACGGATGGATTTGGTAAAGCTAAAATTCACTTTTGCATAGCAAAATTATTGCCGGATTTTAGCCTTTTATAGTTTCAGCAAAATCACAGTTAAACTAGATAAGCCTCAATAATCTGAAATCATCCAAAACATTTCAAGTGAAATTTAAGTTTTTTGAAGGAAAAGTGTTATATATTCACCTCAGATGCCTATTTCGGCTAACCACTATTACTCATACAATTATCTGCAGTGAATTTTGTCAATCATAACATTCTATGATACCATTTTAACTTAAAGAAGTCATCCATAACTTCATCAAAATAGTCAAAGAGGTTATATTACCAAGTTGGTAATTTACCTGTACATAGCAATATATTAGTAGACTCACTATTTAATGCTATTAACTTATCCCTCATAATGTTTTATAAATTTTAAATTAGCTATAAATCATGTAGTAGATATCCCTAAGAGGCAATTTATGCCACTTAAGGCCATTTCTGGAAAACAAAAATCAAATATGCTTTCAGCACTGAAGGGTTTAAGGCTATAGATACTACTTTGGAATGACTCTACCATTCTATCAGTTAACTTTTAATCAAACAGCTAACTTAAATCTCCAACTTTCCAAGGTTCAGAATAAATTAGAAAATTCTTCAATTACAGGCCTTTATAGCATCATAGCAATGCTGCACATAAATCATACTTTTAATTGTTCTGATTTTCTTTTCCCTTAAGAGATTTCTAGAAGTCTTGGCTATTAGCTATCAAATAGAAAACCTTGGAACTAATGTCACACTTAGGACAAACTATTGTACACTGACCATTTAAAACATATCTGTGGTAAAATTATACAAGTCTGTCCAAATAGTTTCCACTGGGAAAAAATGTACATTTCAACACAGAAGTGAGTAAAATATCTCCAGCTCAGGATTAACATGTAATTGCTATACATGATGAAATGGTGATGTGAAAAATCAGAAGACACAGCTACCTGGTCTATCTTTAAGGCAGTATCAAACTCACTGCTTGCCAAAAATATTTCAGTATTTCATGATGAAGGAAAAAAGCACAAATTCCCTATCAATTAAATAATCTATTATGTATTCCTCTTTGCCATTATTTAGTCTTGCAAATTATTAGCAGAACAGACTGGCAAAACATTCAGAAAAGTAAGTTCAAAATCCAGACTAAGTTATGATATATATGCCATGTTTTTTAAGAGCTATTACAAGGCAGATGTCCCTTACTTTATATAATAAGCATATTCTTAGAAATATGTAAATTGAACTTTTATGCATCAATCCATATGAAATATTTTTATTCAGTAAAAAAAATCATTTTAACTTATCGACTTTGTCATTTTCACATTTTATTAATCTGATTTCCTTAAAATTCACATACAGTGCTCTATTTGCAGTCACAACTGCTAGATTTTTAATTATTCTGCAGGTATTACATAAAAGTGTATTTGATATTAAATCCAATTATTTTACACTGTTTATTAAAAAAAAGAAAACATACTTCCTTTTTTTTCCTTTCTTCTTCTTTTCTCTTCTTTTCCTCTCTGATTTGGGCCAACCGCTGCTTCTTACGTTCCAATTCTGCCTTTAATTCACTTTTGTCCGACATGTTTGTGAGCTTAAAAAACATATAATCATTTATAATCATCATTACGTTGGAAAAAATATACAATCGTTTACAATCATCATTACGTTGGTAAAAGCAGGGCTCTTTTAAAAAATCAGTCTTCAAAAAGAGAATTATCTCAAGAGGCCATGTAGTGCACTGCGATCAAAAGACAACATATAAACTCTACTTTTCAAATATGGAAGCATATATATATCACTAAGACTTGGGAAACATTATGAAGAAATGTATGTAAGTAAATATTTGGAGTTGAGCAAAGTAGCTAGCACACAGTAAGCTCTTTAACGTTCAAATGTCCAAATTTAACACAATGACTCTTAAAACAGAAGGCATGGATTGGCTTTAAGGTGCTCTTCGACTATAGGACATAGATCAAATCTATCACCAGAGTTTTGTTTTCATCCCTAGAAATTTGATGAAAACAATATGCAGACAAAAATTCCTGTAAATTCTAAAACTGACGTGTAATACTAACATTCAGGACAAGCAAAACACAAAAACTGCCATCATTAACTATCACATATATTTAAAGTACGAATATTTTTAGACAGAGCCCAACAACAAAGTCTGACTGGCTTCACTACCTACAGCTGACCGGCTCTTCCTCCGAGGCCGGGAGCTCCACGAGTGTCAAGTTCACTTTCTCAAAACTACAAGGAAGACAAAGTCTCGGTAATTTTGTGCTACAACCTCCATGTTCGGGTACTTTCCAACACGCGCGGGGAGGGAAGACGCTGTCATCGCCGGGTAGTAATTTATTTATAAAATGGAGCAAGGCGAAGAGTTGCTTTTCCCCTGAGGTCACCACCAAGAGGGCGCAGTCCAGGACTGGGGGTCTGGGAAAGGGGGACGCTGGGGACCGAGCAAGACTCGAGGCTCCGCCGGCCACCTCCGGTGGGTCAAGGAGGAAATAAAGTGGTCTGGTCTCCACCCGCCTTCCCAACTCACCGCACCTGGCTCTCCCCGCCTCTCCTTCAGGAGTCGGGCCGGGCTGCGCAGTCAGCAGGAACTGCCAAACCGCCCTTTGAGCCCCGACGTGAGACACAGCAGACAAAAAGGCCTTGAGGGAAGCACAGTCAACCCACCTGTAAGCTGGCGGGAAACAAAAGAGTCCGCCCGCCTGCAACGACCCGGTAACGTCCCTCTCCTCCACCCCGGACTCCCAAGAATCGCCGCCACTAGCTCCGCGACTTGCCGAGGCACACACAAAGAGAGATGGGCGGCGGCCACTACGGCGAGAGCTTAGGGACAAATGGCTTCACCAGAACGAGGTCGCTTCCAGAAAGAAGGGGTGGGGCCCCGCTGCGTGGAATTGCAGCCCCTCCGTGACTTACCTGTGTCAAGTAGAAACCAAGAGGTAAGACAAAGACCTCAGTCAGCCCAGGGACCCGAAGTGTTTCCACTTTGCTAAAATCTGGAAGAATACGCCTGATATCCTCGGACTGGATAAGCAACCACCGCCCTTGCCTTACAGATTGACACGACCGGAGAGGGAGAACTACAAGCCCCAGCTGTAGGGGAAACCTGCGTGCGCCGAGCAAGGCATTCTGGGAGTTATGGTCAATGATAGTCGCAAAGTATGCTGGGACGTGTAGTGTTTTCCGAGGCTTACGGTTTCCCAAGCCGAGGCCTTCTATCTTCAGTATCCCAAAGAGAAGCTGCCAGCACTGGCCTTAAACCAGTATTCTGGTCCATTGGTCAGCGCTCACAGTGTTGTGTAAGTTATATATTAAGATCTTTGACTCAACACTGGCCGGATTTTAAGAAGGGCTATTTTCCGGCTGTGAACCTATGTGTTACACTGCACATGAACAACATTTTTTTAGCCTATATACACCAGTTTTAGTGAGAAAACCCCTTACTGAGGTGTCATGTGGCATCATAGGCAATATCTAAAATATAAAACAAGTTTTACATTCTGTCAGAAATGTGACAATTTGTCTTTAAAAAATTTGTAAGTCTTTATTCAGTTTTTACTCAGCATCCTTGGACAGTTGTAAACTTGCTTAGCTGGAGTGTTACAGTTATGAAAATTAGCAATAAGAACTTCTAATTCCTGTATTTTCTCCTAAATTTCATCGTGTACACATGGAATATTTATTTGAGCCCAGAAATAAAATGATTACTGTTGGAATAAATAGCTAGCTAAAGAAATAATAAATAAATAAATAAATAAATAAATAAATAAATAAATATTTATCAGCATTGCAAATAATTCCTCAGTTCTTTGTTGTTGTGTGGTAGGTAGCATTTTTATTTTCTCTTAAAGAATTTTTGAAAACATAACACTATTGAAATCAATCATGTTATCTGTTAAAACCGGACAAGAATGGTTTCCACAGTTTTTGATTTTTTAATATACAAAAAAGGGAAAGTTATTGGAATATGAATTTTCCGGAAATGTATGGGTCTATACACATTAAAAATTTTTATGTTTAAATAATTTAAAAGACTATCTAGAAACAAAGCTAACACCAAAGAAATGTCTTTCTTCAATTCTAGAGGGACATTGCTCAAATCTAGGATTCATTTTTAGGATTCAAATTCTAAGTCCTTGGGACTGTGCCTAGTCTTTTCCTTATCTTACTTTTCCTATATGCAAGATAAATATCTCAGAAATAAATTTGAGAAAGAAAATTCTTTGAATTTCAAGATATCTCCCCATAACTTAAAATTTCAAACTGTATCTTTTCATTTTCTTCCTTCTTTCCTAGTATTTAGTTTTTGTTTAATTTGGAAATTTGCTATTGATTGCCTACCATGTGCCTGGAATGGCGCTGGGTGCTGTATGTAATAGCTAAAATGCATATCTCCATCAGGACACCAGGTCAACTAAATATTATGATGGGATTCTGTAGGGAAGTGATGGAAACACTCTGGGAAAGAAAATTTTCAGGAGAAAATGATTCCAGAGTTAAATCTTTGATTCTGGAAGGTTGAATAGAAGCTAACCAAGCAAAGAAGATGCAGAAAGTTGCCTTGGGAAGAGGAAGGAATGTGGCCAACGTACAGAGGTATGAGAGCATGGACTGCTGAAGAATCTGGAAATAATTCAGAATAGCTGTAGGCTAGGATAAGAGCTAGGGAATGAAGCTACAAGCAGGGGCACAGTCACATATCCCAGTTTAGATTTAGTCCTGAAGATGATGTGAATCCACTGACAGATTTTAAGTAGGAGGATGGTGTAAGGTTAGCATATTAGACATTTGACCTTTCAAAGTGGTGTGAAGAAAGCCTGGTGTGGTGGTATTTTTGGCCCTCAGACTCATTTCTTTCCCTTCTTTGCCCATGTCTGTGCCTCTGGGGAGTGACCCCAGCCTCTTTGAAAACTTCATTATGGTTGAGTTTGACTAATGAGAGGCTTAAGCAAGGTTATCAGAAGGCAGATGGAAGGTGAAATTAGGCATCTCTTCCCCACTTCCCTCCTTTTATGTTATATCTCCAATAGTAGCTTAATTCCTTCATGGCTACAGCTCTTTCCAGGTGGCCCCTCCTCCATGGCTCTTTCATTGGGCTCTGGAAACTTTATTTTCTCCTTTTGTCTCTTTAGCATCTCCTCTGTAGCTAGTTTCCAAGTGCCTCATCAACTCTTATTTGCTCCCTTACCTCTGTCAGTCTTTCTGTAACTTATTTCATCAGAGTATCTTCATTTGAACTCTTTGGGTGAACTCTGTTTCCTGCTGAGACCTTAACTGATACAGCTTGGTTGGAGAGATGGGAGATGGAGAGAAGAGGCAGGATAGAGACAAGAAGCAGAGAATATAGTTTGAAGGCTTTTGGGTGGAGCCAGAAACTATATGTGTATGAGCCAATGCATTGGGAATGGAATTAAGTGGGAATTAAGAATTAATTCTTAATTCAGGAGAATTAAGAAAAATAAACTGGAGAAATGTTAAGAGTGTATAAGACGTTTATAGCAATAAAGCAGGCTAGGTAACCACCTGAACTCCCCCCTGAAAATAACTGAAAATGCAGGATAAAACACCTTTACTTTCTTGCCAAGAAAGTAAAGAATACATCAGACAAAAGAAGGGGACAACTTAGATGGCATTTGCCTAACTTGATGAATTTTCATAGCTTGTAGGCAAGAGATCACAAGAGACAAAGCCCAAAGCCTATTCTAGACTGCGATTTCAAAAGGAAACCTCTCAATACATCCTTGATATAGGAAATCTACCGCAGGGGTGCCTGGGTGGCTCAGTCGGTTAAGCGTCCAACTATTGGTTTCAGCTCTGGTCAGGATCTCATGGTTTGTGAGTTTGAGCCCCACACTGGGCTCTGAGCAGACAGTGTGGAGCCTGCTTGACATTCTCTCTCTCTGCCCCTCCCCTGCTCTGTCTCTCTCTCAAAACTAAATAAACTTAAAAACATTTCTTTAATTAAAAAAATCCACCCCAACTCTTGGAAAATTGTCCAGCAACTCTGGCACTCACTGGGATGGGAAGGAGGAGGCAAATTTCTGAGAATGTGCAATCACAGGTGGGCCTTCACATGGCTTTTCAGCCTGAAATGTCAGTATCTGGATGGCTCATAAAAACATGGACCAAAAATTTGGTTTCAAGTTTTCCAGACTTGTCATGTACTCAGATGCCTGGGAGAAGCAAATGTGAATCTTTTTGTAGGAACTCCTTTTATTCCAAGCTTTGAAGAATTCCATCCTTGAGAATTCTATGCTTTGAAGAATTCCACATAAATTTCAAGAAATAGGAGCTCAAAAATCATACAAAACACACAAAGAAGGCACCAAAAGCAAGAGCCAACCAACCAAAATAACAGGTAGCAGAATAAGACCCAGAAAGGCTTCAGATATTAGAATATCAGACACAGAATATAAAATAAATATGGTTCACTATTGTAACACATAAAAGAAGTAGCTAAAAATATGACCAAAACAGTAGATTTTAAAAATGAACCAACTAGATCTTCTTAAAAGTAACAATATACTAACTGAAATTAAAAAAGAAAAAACCCTCAAGAGATGAGTTGAACATAGCTAAAGAGAGCAGTACTACCCTTAGACCAGTCTTGGGCCTTGTACTTTGGAGTCTGCTCTGGCCTTCATCCAGCTACAAGGAATCTGCATGGCTAAGGATACGGCCAGTCATGAAATCTATATGCCCCCTTATAGATCATACTCCTGGCAGCAGAGACTCTGCAATTACCATCCCAAATAGTCCCAAACCAGCTTCTGGTTCCTTATATACACCTCTTCCCTGGGTCTCTCCTCCTGAGAGTAGCCTGTACTCTCAGGGGGTGGCCAAGAAATTGCTCTCATGGAATGAGATGGGCTGTAATGGAATGTGGATTTGTAGTTTGGTTGCCTAAATGTGTACATTCAATGTCCATTGTAGTGTGGAATGGAGCTGAGGATAAAAAGGGGTTTGGGTTGGCAGATGGGAGTCAACAATCCCTGTGCCACCATAGTATAGGGCAGAGCTCTAGGTATCCAAGAATTTTAAATTCAAACCTGGCTTTTGTCAAGATAGGAGGAGGGAATATATTTTATTTAATTCTTTGTTAGTTTGATTTCTGACTTTTAAATATGTTTATATAGTATGTGGCCTTTCATTTGTACTCTTTTCCAGGGTCCTAGAAATATTGAGGGTAGATCAAGAAGAGAAAATGTTTGTATTAGAAGGTAGTACTAAAGAAATGATCCAGAATGCAGCAGGAAGAGACAAAAAAGATAATATGGAAGAAAGAGTAGAAACGTGGTGGATAGTAGGAGAAGGTCTAGCAAACATCTAATGAAGTTCTAGAAGAGAAGGGGAGAGAGAAGAGAACAGAGTCAACCTCTGAAAAGACCATTTTTTTACAACTGGCAAAAATCACGAATCCACAGATTCAAGAATTCCTATTAGTTGCAAATGGGGTAAATGTAGAACTTGACACCACAGAATGAAACTATAAAAAAAAAAAAGAGGGGCACCTGGGTGGCTAGTTGGTTAAGCTTCCAGCTCTTGGTTTTGGCTCAGGTCATGATCTCCCGGTTCATGAGTTCAAGCCCCGTGTTGTGCTCCGTGCGGACAGTGCAGAGCCTGGTTAGAATTCTCTCTCTCTGCCTTTCCCCTGCTCTCTCTCTCTCTCTCTCTCAAAATAAATAAATAAACTGAAATAAATAAATAACTTCCTTAAAAAAAAAAACCATAAGGGGCGCCTGGGTGGCGCAGTCGGTTAAGCGTCCGACTTCAGCCAGGTCACGATCTCGCGGTCC